AAAATCAGTGGTTTCTAATGGTTAGGGATGAGAAAGGATATAATTATAAAGGGATGGCACAACAGTTTTCTAAAACCATGGAATGATCCTGTATCCTGACTGTGGTTACAGTTACAAGAATTTATGCATGTGTTAAGATTCACAGAACTGTATATCTTAAGGGAAAAAGGTCAGTTTTACAGTATGATAATTACAAAATAAAATAAGTAAATTATAAATTATATTAGAAGATGTTAAGTATAATGGGAAAAGGAAATACAGCAAGGGAAGGGATTGAAAATGCTGCCAGGGGTGTCAGTTTGTAATTTTAAACATGGTAGTTAGGGTAAGCCATTAAAAGGATATTAAACAAAGACTTTAGAAGATGGGAGAGTTGGCCATGCAAATATCGAGAAGCATTCCAGCCAGGTAGACAGTGTGAAAGCAGTAAGGAAGACCAGAGACACTGGAGCTAGGTAAGTGAGAGAGACAGAACAGTCAATGGAATCACAAAAGTAATGGGGCTGAGAGGCAGACTATGTAGGGCCTTTTAGGTCATGGCAAGGACTTTGGCTTTTATTCTGAAATGGGAAGCTACTGGGAGATTTTCAGAAGCAAGTGACCACTATGTTGAAAACAGAATGAAAGAAGGCCAAGGCAGAAGCAACAAGACCAGGTGGCAGGTTATCACAGATGAGAGATGATGGGAGTTGGACCAGGTGGATAGGAGCGGAGGTGGTGAGAAGTGGTCAGATTCTACATCAGATTACATAGAGGGGTGACAAAATGAGGAGTCAAGGATGATTTCAAGAATTTTGTCCTGAACAACTAGGACAGAGTTGCCCTTGACAGGTTTAGAAGAAAGAGGAGGAACCTGAGACATACATTAGATAATCAAGTCTAGGAGGCAGCTAGATGTATAAGTTTGCAGTTCAGGACATGGGTCTAGGCTAGAAACATAAATTTGGGAGCTATTAGCATATGGTTGCTATTTAATGTCATGAAACTGGATAAGATCACTGTATCAGTCAGGATACCAGCAGGAAACGATAGTAAGGGATTTAATAAAGGGACAACTTATGAAGATGTGTGCAGAGTGCAGGGAAACCACATGGGAAAATAGAGTGTAGTATCCCAGGGCTATTAACAGAGTGGCTGTTTCCACACTTAAGGCTGAAGGAACTAGGAAAGAAAGTGAATACCAAGCTCAGAAGAAAAGAGCCCTATAGAGACTGACGTGAGAGGAGCAGTGACCTTCAGTCAATTCAGCCAGATTGCAGTGACCTGCAGATTGGACGCCAAGGGGATAAATGCTCCAACCTCACCCTCCTCCTTTTTGCCCTCCAATGTCCTACAGGGGCTCTACATTGGCCAAACCCAGCAAAAACCAAAGGCCAAGGAAGTTTGCTGATGTTGTCCATGCAGGTCAGCATCCTGGGACAGATGGCACGTAGAGAAGGAGCAGACCTAGAAGGGCACATGGAAGACTTCCAGTACAAGCAAGGAAGTGAGTATGGATAAGGAAGCAGACACTCCACTATCAAAGAGCTGAGAAGAAAAGGAGGAGGGAAGCAGGAGATCCACGAAACACAAGTGCTCCATAGAAACACTGTCCTAAAATAGTACCAAGTTCATCCAAACTGAAAAAACCTTCCCTTGACCTAATGAACCCAGACTTGGCTCTTCCCTCCCTTCACCATTCCTTGAAAATCGAAACAAAACAATTTCTGCTTATTGTTTCTATTTTCTCCTTTCACTCCTAAATCTCTTCTGAATAAAAAAGCATTCTAAAGGGTCATCAATGTTTTCTTACCCAATCCAAAAGCCCTTTCTCCATCCTTATGCTCCATCATTCCAATATGTAAGACAATGCACTCTACCACCTGTTTTGTATTCCTTCTTTTTGGCCATTTATTTTTTAAGTGCCTTTTTTCTCCTCCTATTCCTATAATCTAGGTGTTCCCTAAATCTCTGATTTTAGCACTTCTCACTTTATCCTCTCATCCCTGTCAACTTTCTGCTGGATATCTAGTTTGACATAGTTCTCTAGAACCAATATTATCTCCTATTGGCCCCAATCCCACCACCAGGGTGCTGCCCCATCCTTCAGATTCAGCATATCCAAACAGGAACTAATCTTCATTATCCCTTATCCCCGCTCTTGTGCTCACTCTTGTAGTTATTAGGATTAGCATCATCATCTGTCTCACCATCCTGGATCTAAACCAGTACTATAGTTAGCCTAGTGGGAAGCACACTCTTCTGTATTAAAGGTTGTCCAAGTGGTTAATTCTTATGCTCAAACAAGGTTTGGAAAATGCTTCCCTAAACCTTTGCAGACCAATCCTTGTCCCTACCCACTACATCTAATCAGGTGCCAAACCACTTCTGAAATTGTTCCCTAGCCTACCTACTCCCCTTACTTCCCACTGCCGACATGGCTTGGATAACCCAGCCACTGTAATGGCTTCTTCTTCTTTTTGTAATTGTAAAATATACATAACATAAAGTTTACTATTTTAACCATTTTTTTTACACGTACTGTTCAGGGCATTAAGTATTCACATTGTTGTGAAACCACAACCACCAGCCATCTCCACAACTTTTTCATTTTCCCAAACTGAAACTCTATACCCATTAAACAATTACTCCCTGTTTCCCTCTCCTCTGGAGGCCCTGGCAACTACCATTCTACTTTCTGTCCCATGAGTTTGACTACTCTAGGTACCTCACATAGGCGGACTCATACAATAGTTGTCCCTTTGTGTCTGTACTAGCCTCTTTTTTTTTTTTTTTTTTTTTT